TTGTCTGTTTCCAGCATACCAATTATATGCTCTGTTTTTGTCATTTTTGGCAGAGTTTATCTTGCCTTTGTCTGTTTCCAGCATACCAATTATATATTTTGTATCAAGATAACAATAAACATGGATGATAATAGACATAATTTTCATTGCTGTCACATAATGGATTACAATCAAATGGCCATTTCCATAATGGCTAATATACAAGCACGGAATCACCATTTACCTAAAACAATCTTATGACCATTACCATATAACATGAGGAAAGAAGCCCATTTACACTGAAACAATCATGACCATTTTCCCTGTAAGATTTTCAAACACATCACTTATACCAAATCAACAAACAACTAGCACTAGTCAATACTATACTGTAGAAAAAAAAAAAAAAAAAAAAAATCAGCAGCAATTGGAGGAAAAGAAAGGCATCTGCACTGTTCTTGACCTCAATTTTTTGGATTTTCTGTTTCCTTTCTTTGCAGCAATCAAACCTAAACTAATTGGTTGGGGGTGCTCTTGTTGTCGTTGGGTGGGCTTCTGTTCTAGGGATTTCACCCCCAAATCGTGAAATGGGACTAGCAATTGGTCGAAGTAATGGGGAAGGAATTGGCAGTGAAAATTTCTAGGGATTTCGGCCCCCAATTTTGTGGATGGGACTAGAGATTGGCTGGGAGAGTTTAGGGATTGGGTGGGCTGCTGTTGGCGGAGAGGAAGATCTTGCACGGCCGATTGTTGAGCGAAGAACAAAAGGATCTTGCACAGAGAGAGGCCAGCTATTGGGCGAAGAAGAAGAAGCAGATTTTGCATAGAGAAAGGGTAGCTATTGGGCGAAGAAAAAGAAGCAGATCTTGCATGGAGAAAGGCCGGCTATTGGGCGAAGAAGAAGAAGCAAATCTTGCACGGAGAAAGGCCAGTTGTTGGGCGAAGAAGAAGAAGCAAATCTTGCATGGAGAAAGGCCGACTGTTGCGCGGAGAAGTTGTAGGGATCGGGTGGGCTGCTGTTGGATGGAGAAGAAGACTTTGCACAGAAAAGACGCAGATTGAAAATTCTAGGGATTTCACCCCCAAATCGTGGAGTGGGAAGGAAGAGGAAAGATGGGAGAAAAAGGAAAGTGGTGGGATTACAACATGCCGTGTCTATCCTCAAAAAAAAAAAAACATGCCGTGTCCAAGAATGCTTTTTATTGTCTAGTTGGCATGCCACGTATTGAGTGTATAACGGATTATAACGGGCGTTATGTTAGACTTAACGGATGGTTAGGATTCCATCCAATTGGGTC